CAAGTTCGTGAGGTGACACATGATGCCCGATGTGCACAGCACAACCATGTGGTGTAGCACCTGGATCAATTCCCATGATGGCAGGACCTCTGTCTGAGTGTCGAGCCCATCATAACATCCGGCACTTCATTCATTAAACCGGGTTTACTTGTGGAGACGATGAACCGGCTCTGGGTTGCGGATGTCTCCAAAGTGTCCGGTTACCGAATGCGGGAGACCCGGGACATCAAGGCCTCCAAATACAGACAGCCTGACCGCATCGCCGATATTCACGGATGGGCCGCTATTTCCCCTCCTGTCTCGGTGCGCTACCTCCCTGTCATCACTTCTAACCTGGGACTGCTCTATGAACCATCCGGTGCTGGGCTACGGACTTTGGGCTTGGGCCGCAGGGACTGCCTGGACGTTGATCTCCTGACCATCGCAGGCTCGCTCAAATGTTACAATGTTTACACGCGTGGAACTGGGAAAGGTTGATTCCGGATCTTGGGTGACATGTGATTAATGACACTGCCATAAACGGCGACTCCACTAGTGTCACCATCTTTAGCGGATTTTCGCTCTCAGAGAGGTTCCTCCCTCTGATAATTTATGATAAATATAGGGGTGGCACACTCTCATTGGTAATTGTGGGGAAAACCTTTTTGAAATGTTTGAATTGAGATGGAATTTTTGAAACGATGAAATAACAATACGCGATGCAGTTGCAAATCTGACAGATCAAAGTACAAAGCACAATGAATATGAAGGTATGAGAATTATTTAAAGTTAAAAGAAACAGGTCAAGAAATGAACTGAACATTTATTAAATAAGCTTGAGGAAAGTATTTGAGAAAATTAATAGAAAATATGTAAAGTAGTGGTAAGATATGAAACTAAATGTGAAAGATGAGTATGTAATCAAAGTCATGTTTGTATGGGAATGTGAAAACCCGGGATCACGCTGTTCACTAAAGAAAGTTGTTTTTAAGACGTGGAAAACTGAAATTAAACTTTTACAAAAAATAAAATAAAGCCAAATCCAGTCTCAGCACCTGACTGATTGCATAATCAGCCATAATAGTAATAATTAACAGTTCAGTAGGGCCTTTTGCTCGAGCAGGTTGGACTAGAAGACCTCTAAGGACCCCTCCGGCTCTGTTCTGATTATGATTCTGAGTCGAGCGTGCCTCCAGATGTGGTGGGTGCTCCATCACTGAAGATTTTCAAGAAGAGACTGAACAGCCACTTGCCTGAAATGGTTGCAGGGTCCCCTGCTTGAGCAGGGGGCTGGATTAGAGGACCTCCAAGGTGCCTTCCAACTCTCCTGCTATTCTGTCATTCTGCTGGGAGCTGAAAAACAACCCCGCCCCACCTATCTCACAGCCTCTCCTTGCTCCCTCAACAGCAGATCTGACCAAAGGAAGTCCCAAAATAGGCGCAGCAAGAGGAACATTTCCACGAATTCTCTCCTACGTCCTTTTTGGGAGCATTCGAATCTCCAGGGATCAATACATCGATTGATTAATGCCTTCCTTCAAGGCCAGGGCTTGGGAGACCCACGTTCCTCAGGGCAGGCCAGGATGGAGGCTTCACTGGGCCCAGCCTGGTTGCCAGAGTTGGCGCACTCTTCGCTCAAAATCGACTTTCCAATACCGTTACAGGCATTCCTCGACTTACAACCGCAATTGAGACCAAAATTAGGGTCACAAGTCAAGGTGGTTTTAATGCCAGGTCACCAGGGAAAGGGCCGGGGGGGGCTGAAACTGATCTAAGTTTGTGCACTCAGTCCCTTTGTTCAGTGCCATGATAATTTTGCTCGCTGAAGGGGCGTTAAGCGGGGAGGAGTACCTGCATTGGGTTGGCGTGTTGAAGTTGCATCGGGGGAGAAAAGACTAGAAAATAAACTAGCACTTAGAAAAAAGGATTCGCACAACACACTCGATCCAGGTGGATGAAACACAAATACAATGTGGGTCCAACCGTGGCAACTTTTAAGTCAGGTGGACTTCAACTCCCAGAATCCCCCCAAACAGGAAGCTTTAAGAGGGGCGGATTTCCAACTCCCAGAATTCCCCATCCAGTAGGCTTTAAGAGAAGTGAACTTCAAGTCCCAGAACACGCCCCCCCCCCGCCACCCCCAGCCAGCAGGCTTTGAGGGGTGGGTTGCATTTCCCAGAATTCCCCAGCCAGCATGCTTTAAGACGCGGATCTTCAAACTCGGCAGCTTGAAGACTTGTGGACTTCAACTCCCAGAATTCCTCCTCTTCCTCCTCCAGTCATGTTAGCTCAGGGATTCTGGGAGTTGAAGTCCACAAGTCTTAAAAGTTGCCAAGGTTGGGCACCCCTGTAGTAGACCCAAACCAGATTATGTCTGCCTGTGATGGATGACCTACTCCATACACTATGCTGAACCACAAACGCATCCTGGCTTGCTGTGCAGATGTTCCCATTTTGTGCGGGAGAGTCCGAAGAACTGAAAGTAGAGTAGCTACTGGGAGAGTAGCCAAACGGAGACTTCCAGGTTACACAACCAACAGTATCAGCAGGATGATGATATATCCAAACGCCCAGTTTATCAGTTAAATTTTACTTTGATTCCCACCCAACCCTTGGTGCCAAGGAGTTATGGGTGCATCACTGGAGGCGAAGACTAACTACTGCACGGTATAACTAGGAGAATAATGGTTGTAATTATGATGTAAAATGTATATTCAAAAGAAAACCACATTGTATGAGAAAAATGGTTGCAATCAGGGTGTATAAAACTTATGTGTACTTAAAATGAGATTTGATACAACCATACGCTGGCATTGCAGAAATGGAAACGTGATGTATAATAAATGAAAATGTATAATAAAAAAGACCAGACAATTATTTGTCCAGAATATCGATCTCTCGCTTGGTTGGGACTAGATGACCTCTGAAGTCCTTTCCAAGAGTGTTGTTATTCTGTTCTTCCTGCCTCCTTGCAGGAGGAAAATTTTTGGAAGGAAACATCGCTGGAAAGATTTGAGGCATAGAATGATTAAAGTGGGATTTTGTTTTCCAGATCTATCTTCCACTTATGGCTGTACTCATTTTTGCCAGTATCAGGATGTTAAAAACTTCAGTCTTTTCAAAGTTAGGGCAGAGCCCACCCCAAAGGGTACTAATGACCCAGTTTTCACCCCCACTCCCACCCAAAAACTACTTACAAACTGGCTTCAAAGTTTCAAGCCACTGCAGGACCCCCGCATCCGTGTTCCTACACCCTTACAACTGACCGCAGGGACGTAGTAGCCCCCATCCTGCTGGGTGGCTAGCCTGAAGGGGTGAGAAGCAGGCCCAAATCTTGCAGTGACCCCTGAAAAAATAACCTTGTGCTCCTCTTTTAAAGAGAAACACTCACTTAACGTCCAGAGTCAAGAAGAGTAAGGGTTCAAGTTGTTAAGCGAGACCATCCCTTTCCAGGCTCTATTTGGATTGCAATCATTACGGTCACACAACGTGTAAAGAATCACCTGCAAATTAAGTGCTTACATACTTGCATGTATTTATTTGCACCTGTAAAATTTTGTTCAGAGACACCAATCTTGAGCCACGATCCCCCCAAATCAGAACCAAAAACACTTGGCAGTTTTAATGTTTTGATAATTTATTAGGAAAAAATGGCTTTTTATATAAGTCCTAGTTCAACGGTACAAAATATAATTAAGTTGCAGATAATACAAAAACACAAGCAGAACAAGTGAAATGAAAACACATTTTTAAGAAAGAAAAAAATAACCAGCACACCCATTTGTGACACACACAAAAGTATTTGTGGCGACAACATCTGGGATGAATTAACACTTTGGCAATGCAGTGCAGTCATTTCAAGTGCATTTTTTGTTTCCCCGACGGGGAGAAAACACACAAAAGTCGACACAAAGTCATCGGGAGTGTCGCAGGACGGCCAGTGACCAAAAATAAACGCTTTCCCACACGGCTTTTCTCAAAATCTTGAAGCTCTTGCTATGGATCATCATCTCTGCGTACATTCATTTATTTTTTAAAAATGCAGATTTTCTGGCACCCATTTGACAAGAGCGTTTTTGGTCTCCCGAGGCCCCCGGAAAGGGTGGGGTGGGGGGGTTCAATGGGGCCGCTGAACCTCCTCCTCCCATCTATGACCTCCCACCTCAAACCTGCCGACCTATGCCCCCCACCCTACCTCTGAACCAGAACACTAACACTTATCCCCACCTATCAAGGAGATCCTAGGCAAAAGAGGGATTTCTCCCTTGCGGACGACAGGTGGGGTTTGCTTAACAGGTTTATAGACAAAAGGAAAAAAATACAGGATTTAAGTGCTATAAAAAATACAAAAACAACCCAGGAGGACCCAAGTCAGCGCTCTCCCCTTGCATTGTTCAACAAGCTTTACAGACTATTTTATTTTTTGCAGATTTAGGCTCTTGCGCCTTCGGATGCCTCGCGGTTTATTGCTTGTACAGCGGTTCCCCGCACACTCCTTCTCTTCTCTCACCTCTTCTCCCACCTCGAGGCTGGTGAGAAGGAAGCCCACTCCTCACACCACCTCCTCTTTCCGGCCTCCGATCCCCTTTTCTTCCTAGCCCCCCTTCTTCCCTCCTGACATGCTCCTTCCCTTTCCAAGGTTGGTGGGGTTTGAACAAACCAAAAAGGCTGGAAAAAAAACCAGCCCCCACCAATATGAGCAGCTCAAAAGAAATTCTCCCCTATCAAAACCCTCCAGGCCTGCGCCATCCACGTCACACACCGCCTACAAAATCTGTAGAGCGGACTACCAAGCCCCCCCCAAAACCTTGAGCCTTCCTCCCCCCTTTTCCTTGTCAAGGAAAGGGACAAAACAATGAGACACACACACAGGACTTTTCTTCCAAGAAGCTGCCTCTTAACACCCCCACAATCGCATCGGCACCGGTCAGTTTGCAGGGGGGCGCGTGCTCTGCCACCGAGGGGCTTTGAGGAAGGAAACGCCCCTCCCTCCCCTCATACACGCCCCCCCCATTTTTTTGGTCATCTGGAACCCAGGTGTGCTAAGGCACTAAGGAAGTCGGTTTCGGCTCCTCCGCGGCGACTTTTGTTTCCTGAGAGGTCAATTTGACAACCTGGAAGGTTTTTTTTTTTTTCCTTCTGTGCCTTTTCTTCTGCTGCGTTGCAGAATTGCTACCGAGGGCAATTTTTTTTTTTTGAAAAAAAGAAAAAAGTCCAGAAAGAAGCTGGATAAAAATCACAGCCACACCGGAGTTTCCTTCAGCGTTCACTGGACAATGTTGTTGTTCACAGTGCAAGGATCGACCTGGGTGGGGGGGAAAAAACGTGTAAAATGGAGATGAAATATATGTGCAAGCTAAAAAGATCTAAGAGGTTTCTTAAGAAGAGGCTGGACGGTCAGTCACTAGTCTGGGATGGTCTAGGGCTCTCCTGCTTGGGCAGGGGGCTAGACTAGAAGACCTCTCAGGTCCCCTTCCAGCTCTATTGACTGAACTCACTCGCAATGGAAAGACCCTGCCTGCTCGCTTACAAGACCCAATAACTTGCCCTACCCAAAACTGACTTGGGTAGTAGCCCCTCCCCACTTCCCTTCAGAAGCAGCCTCACCTCTGTGTAGGTTGGTGGCGGCATGAATTTGAACTCGGGAGCGTACATGAAGATGGGGCTGTCGAAAGAATTGTCCAGCTCATCCAGGAGTGGAGTGGTGGGGCTCTCGATCCGGTGGTCTTCAGGGATGATATCCAGGTAGCACGGAGGTGCTAAGAGGGGAAAGAGAGCAAAGGTCAGTTCTGGAGGGTCGAGGGGCTGCAGAGGACACCGCAAGGTTTAGATCCTTTGCAACTACAAAACCCATGAGAGAGAGAAGGCTCATAGGGCGGTGGGTAGAGGTTCCTCAGAAGGCCCCACCACCATCACAGCCAACCTCCAAACGGAGGTCGGTGCAGAGACTTTCCCTTCTCCCCCTGGACGTTGAAGCAGGCGGACTTAAAGGACCTCGGAGAGGGGCTCCTCACCTTCTGGAGTATCGGGGATGTTGAGGTCCACCCAACTCATCTCGGAGCTGGTCTGGCTGGCCATGCTGGAATTGCGGCTGCCAAAGCTGGACTTGTTGCCAATGACCAGGGGCAACTCCAGGATGATCTTCTTGGAGCCGGGGACGCTGACGTAGATCTATGGAAGGGCAAGAGGAACACGGGGTGAGGGGGCTTGGCTTGGCGGGAAAGCCACACCTGGTTAAGGGACTCCTTCCTCCAAAGTTTAATCCCACAGGCAGCCAAAACAGGGGCACTCCGGAGCACGTCCTTGGAGGAAAGTGGCTTAGGGTGGGGCCCTGGGCTTTAGGCTCTGGGGCCAAGCCAGAGCCAGTTTGAAGCTGGACAGGGTCAACAGCTTAAGGAATTAAAAACCGGGCCCCGAGGCTTGATCTAAGTGCTCGAAGAGGGCTCTGTGGTTAGCTCCTAGCGCTGATGTTAACTAGCTCAGGGGTCTCTCCAACCTTGGCAACCTTTTAAGACTGGTGGACTTCAACTGGCTTCCCTGGCTGAGGAACTCTGGGAGTTGAAGTCCACCAGTCTTAAAAGGTTGCCAAGGTTGGAGAGACCCCTGAGCTAGATGGGCAATGAGACCAGCTGCAAGAAAACCAGCAAGCTCAAGACAGCCCCAGGGACACCCCTCCCCCCCTCACCATCTTCCTCTTCACAATCCCCACCTTCCTCTATGAAGACCAGATGAGGTTCCTGGCTGCGTTATGAAACGTCCGCCAGGAAACCAAGCAAGCTCACAGATAAAACCCCGAGCTACAAATATCCCCCCCTCTTCTACTGATTTAACTAGCTCTAACCCGACCTGCAACAGGGGCAAGAGTCGTGGGAGCGGGCCTCTTTTGCCTCCAAGGTGGCTCACCTGCAGGAAATACTCCACTCGCAGGATATTGCAGCCCAGGATGGATGGCTTGATCTTCCTGACTCGGAGCGTCTTTCCCCGCCAGGACTCGGACATGCCGGAGGTGATGTGGTTGCCTCGGACGCAGGAGAGCTTCTGGGAGAACATCTTGGTCTGCCCGTTGGCCAGGTAGGTGTGCTTGGCCACAATGGCTGCCTTGGGCACCACGATCCGGGAGCAGGTGTTCTCGAAGTCGGCATTGATGCAGATGTCATCGCCTGGAGGAAGGCAGAGGAGAGGACGGTGTTAGACCCTCAAGAGCCCCCAAAAGCCTCTGCCCTGAGAAAAAAAGACCCTGTATTCCAGTCACCTATAAATCCCTCAAATTAATTCAATGTTTCCCTGTGAGGTTTTCTAAACAAGACACCCCCAAGATTTCACGTTTGAATGCAGATTCTACACAAAAACCTAGATACGTTGTTTATCTATTTAAGGCAAGATTTTTCACTCAAATCAACCCAGATCTACACACACAAAAACCCTAGGTAACCCCTTCCAACCTTTAAACTAAATGTTACCTAGTGTTTTCCACACTTATCAACCCAGAATCTACGCAAACACCTAAGATAACAAATGAGCCTTGAATGAAATTACTTTTACCTATTAAACATATGCAATATAATGTCATGAACATAGAAAAGCTTAAGATTTTGGAATGAAAACACCCAGAATCCCAGACAGAGATCAAAACCCCAGATCTGGACTTAAAAACTCAAGTGTTGGCAACCCTGTTTTTTATATCTGCTCCGCCTTCAGTGGGTGAGCTAAATGAATTTTACCAACAAGGTTTACCAGGTGGGAGGTAAAACGCAGAAGAATTGCCATGCTGCAGGAATCTCACCTTCACAGAATCCTTTGCGGTCAATCCTCGCACTAACAGAGACGTGTCCGTCTGGGATGAACATACAAGAAACTTTCTTCTCCTTTTTGGCTGAGACAGGAGACTGGAGAGACAAAATAAAAGTCAGGTACTTGATAACAAGCATCTGATCCACTCTAAATTATGTTCGACTGGTTTTTTTTCCCCTTGCAAACTCTTCCCTAGCCAACTTCCTTCAAGTCATAGTTAGAAACTAATGATCCAGAGACGTTCTGCTTTGCTTCCCTTGGACGCAAGCGATTAACTCCCATCCAAGGAAGTCACTGCACAAGCCCAAAACTTCACCCAAAAAGTTTGGGAGAAGATTGGCAGAAAAAGACAGAAAAACATCCAGGCATTTAAAGTTGCAAATTCTAACTAATGTAACCCTGGCGTGATTGATGGACAGCAAAGCTCAAAGTAAACCAACAGGGGGATAGTTACCATCAGATCTGGAGTGTTGACGTCAATCTGATCCATCACTTCAAAGCGCTTCTTCACCTCTTGAGTTGGGAAGGAGGGGCGATCCAAGAAGGCCTTCACCCAGTAATCCACACAGCCATACTTGCCCTTAAAAGTGGTGCCGAGGGGCCTGAAAGAAACCCAAGCAGGAGGTCAGACAAAGGAGAACAAAGGCCGATCCACGATGGATGGGAAGATTTTACCCCGATTTAAATAGTCTTTACTTGATCTCTTACTTACCCTTGGGGCAGTTCAAAGTTGAACTTGTATTGGTAGGTGTTTCCAGGTCTCAGCAAAACTGAACCATCTTTATCTAGAAAAAGACAAGAAACAAAAGAAAGGGATCAGATTTGTGGATTCTTTTTCAAGCTGAAAATTAACCTTTGCAGCAGCAGCAGCAGCAAAGAGGAACCTTCCTCAAAGGGTTTCCAGAGGTTTCCCCATTTTAAAATTAAAAAAAAAATGCAACAGGGTTCATTCCCCTTCTTTAAAAACTCAGAAAGGAGTTAGCTGTGATCTCCAGCCAAGTTTTGACAGCTAGAGCCTCTCTTCTAAAGGGAACACCTGGGTAGTTTGGGGAATTCGCTTCCGATTAAAACGGATTGCCAGAATTGCCTCCTGCCAGGGACATCCTGTACCACCCAAAATGTCTCGTCTTGGGAAAAAGCCAACTCAGGCAAAATTTAAAAACTCCAGGATGCCCCTCCTCCTCCCAGTTCCCTCTCTCACATGTTGGAAGGGACCTTGGAGGTCTTCTATCCAACCCCCCCCCCCTTGCTCAAGCAGACGACCTTGTACCACTCCAGGCAAATGGGTCTTTTTCTTAAAGAGGGCATTTTAAAGACCCCCTAGGGAATTGCTCTCTCCTTGGTGAGCTCTCCTTGGTTTATCAAACTTCTCTAAAAGAGGATCTGTTCCTCCTCGCACCTAAAACCTTCCTTCACTCCAAAGGTGGCAGATTCACTTGGATGAACTGGGTGGCTGTAGAAATTGAATATACGCATTCAATATATTTGCAGACCCAGGCAACTCAGGGGTGCAAAACTGGGTTTTGCTTAGGAAAATTGGGACCTTAAAAGTTTTGGAAGCCTCGGCCAAAAGCTTGAAAGTTTTTTTAAAATTCGACTTCATTTAAGTTTTAAGGTCCTGGAAGAGATTTTTTAGCAGAGAAAGATTGCTGTTTCTACTCCAAAAGCTTGTTTCATTCACCCCAGGGCAGGACTAGAGCCCGGCCACTCTTTAAAGAGGATCGGACTACAACTCCCATAACTGCGCTGGGGAGTCCTGGGCGTTGTAGTCCATCCTCTCAGAAGCGGCTGAGGGTCGAGACGCCCCGATCCGGAGGATGCCCACTCGCTCCCAGCCATGCCAAACATGGAAAGCCACCGATAGGGGCGCTCTCTCCCCCCCCCCCCCCCCGGCGCTGGGGGGTTGGACGCCCCCCCCCCCCCCCCCCCCCCCCCCCCCCCCCCAAAAGAAAGAAAGCCGAACTCCTCGGCGAAGCTCCCCGCTGGCTCACCGGTGGGCTGGTCCTCCAGCTGGAGCACCGATTCGTGGCGCAGGTACTCCATCTCCTGCTTGCACTGCTGCGGGCCCCGGATCCACAGCACGCGCGCCACCCCGCAGGCCAGGAAGCGCACGGCCGAGACACGCGTGACCTCGGCCACCTCCACTTCCACGCGGCCGGCCACTTTCTCACCGCTGGAATACACGCGGCCGTTCTCTTCGAACTCCAGCCGGAACGCCTTGACCCGCTTAAAGACCACCATGGTTTTGTGGGTCGGTGTATGTCAAATGGCAAAAACGCGAAGAGATTGCAAAAAAAATAAAATGCAACGCCTCTCCGGACTCCCGAGAGGTTCCTTTTTTAAAGAACAGGAGAAGCGAGACAGAACGAGCGGCGTATGTCACTTTTCGGAACGAACGCAAACACCTGCTCTCGCTCAGCTGCTTCCCAGCTTCTGGCCGGGTCTGTGCCGCAGGCGGGGCTTTTATACCCGCTCCCGCCCTCCTCTCCCCGCCCCTCCGTTGTTGATCTCAGCGCTCGCCATGCGGCCGGCTCGTGGACCCGCGTGCTGAGCTCGTGAACAGCGCTCCCATTGGCTCCCTCGCCGAGTTTACGATCCCGGCAGCCAATCGGAGACCAGCCGGCGGCGCGTGGACACCGTGTGTGGAAAGCCCTTGCCGGCCGTGCTGAACACCCCAGCAGCCGGGAAAGACCCATCACCCTGAGTGACGGTTCAGGCGACCAATCCAAATCCGACAAAAGAAAAGAACGCTACGTCCTTCGCCAATCAGGTGCGGCGTCTCGGGTGGGGTTGTTCTAATTGCAGAAACTTCTGCTTTCTCACCTCCTTGCTTGCGTGATTCAATTTCAAACCTGAATACGTATATATAAATATTTTATCTCCTATCAATAATAACACAGGTCAGCATATTTGATAAAGGGACTGTAACCTTGGCTGGGGAACCTCTACGTTGCAATTTCCAGATTAAGGCTAAGAAGGAGCAATAATTTTGGCCAAAATAAATGGCATAGCAATGCTAAAAAAGATCCTGAGGTAAATGCGCGACGTTTTCTCAACCGCTTCTCCAATGAGGGACAGGGGTGACCCATAAAAATAACATAAAAATAAAACTCAGGGCTAAAAAGTGGCCCTAAACATTTAGTAAAACAAAACAAAATTGAAGGCTTTTTTAAAAAAAGCATCATATAAAGTCATATATTTATTACAGATCCAAACCTGTCCATCCAAGTGGAGCAAAGAATCCTGTGCCATCTTTTTTTTAATACACACATTTACATGTAAATGTGTATATATACCATGAAAGATAGAAAGATAAAAGCCACATACAAGAGAATAAAACAGTGAACTCCATTTAGTAAAATACAAGCAAACACGAGGTCCCCTTAAATAATTAGCCAATATTCCTAGATCAGAGCTGGTTGAGGATAATTTTTATTTTGAAAAGGTCAAAATGTGACTTGAAAGGCAGCAAAGCAATGGGAAATGCTAGGAAATACACAAAAACGTGATATATTTTCTAGTTTGTTCCTTCTATTCTCTACTTTTATTGGTGATTGGAAGCCTTTTGTTGGCTTTTTTTTACATTAAAATGAAAATAATGAGTTTGTGATTTATGCCTTTCATATTTAGACAGGATAAATTACAGAAAGAAGAATATGATGTAACTTTAGAGAGGCTAAACTATATTTGGACTTATATCTGCTGTAAATATAGAAAACAGCTTCTTTATATCTTTTTTCTTTTCTGTTTTTCTTCAGTATTTTTTCCTTTCTAGTTTTTTAAATCTTTCTTCTCCTTGCTTTTTCTCTCTCCCTTTCTTTCTCCCCTCCCTCCCTCCTTTTTTACTTTCTCTTTCCTTCCTTCCCTCCTTTCTTTCTCCCTCCTTTCTTTTTCTCTTTCTCTCTCCTTTCTCCTTCCCTCCCTCCTTCCTTCCTTCCTTCCTTCCTTTCTTTCTCTCCTTCCTTTCTCCCTTTCTTTTTTCTTTCTTTCCCTCCCTCCCTCCCTCCTTTCTTTCATTTTTCTTTTCTTTCTCTCTCCTTCCTTCCTCTCTCTTCCTTCCTTTCTCTCCCTTTCCCTCCCTTCTTTCTTTTTCTTTCTTTCTCCTTCCTTTCTATCCTTTCTTTCTCCTTCCCTCCTTCCCTCCTTCCCCTTTTCCTTCTTTCTCCTTGTTTCTATCTTTTCCTTTTTTTGACTTTTATCTTGTTTTCAAGACTTTGTAAAATTATGAAATAATTATGTATCAAAAACATAGTTTTCATCAGTTCACCAACCTGTGAAACCAAAAGGAAACACAACCTCAGCTGAAAAGGCTGGTTGCCTTTTAGAAATGGGGCTGTACAAATAAACAGGAAGCTTCTAAGACACAAATACATTTTAATTTTTCCTGCCTGTTTTCTCCTCTTTCCCTTATGTCTTTGTTTCACTTCCCTGCAAATTACATCCCACCCCCCCACTGCATTGAAATGTCATTTAGGGCAGGGGTCTGCACTGCTGCTGGGGAATTCTGGGAAGTTGAAGTTCAGAAGTCCTTAAAGTGGCCACATCTGGAGAACCCTGCTTATTAATAAAGTTTAATAAAGTTTATCCCCCCACCCGTTTCATCCGGAATGGGCTTAAACTGATCTTAAGGGACTAACCCTCTCCCCTTTCTCTTAAGCAAGTCATGCATTCTGAAAATACCCGAGAAGACTGCAGGGCCAGTAGCCAAGCCTGGCTTGCAATCCGAAACAGATTCCAGGCATAGCAGCCTCCTCAAGTGCTTTTTTGGCCACAGGGCGTTTAACCTTTGGCACCCTGAACTCAATGTGGTCACCAATGTTGCCCAATGACCTGCGGGTGTGTTTCTGTCTTCTATACAGAGATGCAAGTCCACAAGTCTTAAAGTTGCCAAGGTTGGAGACCCCTGTCCTAGAGAACATCGATGTCCAGATTTTTACAGTGGGGAGTTTTGTGGGACTAGAAGACCTCCAAGGTCCCTTCCAACTCTTATTATTCTATCCTGCTCTATTCTATAGTCTGATCTATTCTAGTCTATATTCTGTTCTATACAGGTAATCCTCAACTTACAACTGTTCACCTAGTGACTGAAGTTCCAACGCTCTGAAAAAAGTGACTGGACAAGAAGCAACGGATGGAAACTAACCAAGGAGAGAAGCAACCTAGAAATAAGGAGGAATTTCCTGATGGTGAGAACAATTAATCAGTGGAATGGCTTCCCTCCAGAAGTTGTGAGTGCTCCAACACTGGACATTTCTAAGAAGACACCGGGCAACCATTTGACTGAGATGGTAGAGGGTCTTTTGCCTGAGCAGGGGGTTGGACTAGAAGACCTCCAAGGTCCTTTCAAGTGATATGATTCTATGAAAGAGAATAGCTGACTGATCACCCCTTAGATGTTCACGGGGGTGGCAACGCTAAGCAAGAAAACACCTCATTCCATAATGACTCACAACCTGAGACATCACACTCGCATACAACACCAAGGGGATGAGAGTATTTGAGGCTGATGTTTGAGTCATGATATCATTTTATTCCTGATATGCTCGCAGTAGCTTCAAATGCCTGTGGAGCCAGAACAAAAACAAACTTATCACATAAAATAATTTAATCAAGCTTATCAATCCCAGCTAATGTATTGCTTAGTCTGTTTTCCAAGTTTAGTCCAAGTGTCATTCTTTATTTTTATCCCGTGGCAAGGATAATAAATCTTTAGCCTGGACTAGCATGTCTTGTTAATGCAATTACAAGTAGTTCTCGACTTACGACCATATTTGAGCCCAACATTTTTGTTACTAAGCAAGACAGTTTAACTCAGTGTTGACCCATTTTACAACCTTTCTTATCACGGTTGTTAAATGAATCATTGCAGTTGTTAAATTAGTCACCCAGTTGTGAAGTGAATCGGGCTTCCCCGTTGGCTTGTCAGAAGGTTATAAAAGGAGATCACAAGACCCTGGGCATGGCAACCGTCATAAATATGAGTCGGTTGCCAAGCATCTGAATTTTGATTATGTGATTGTGGAGATACAGCAATGGTCGTAGGTGTGGAAAATGGTCCTAAGTCACTTTTTTCACTGCTGTTGTAACTTTGGTAATTAAATGAATGGTTGTAAGTTGTGGACTGCTTGAACTCCAATTCCACTAATGGCTGTCAAGGACGTGGTTCTAATTTTCAAAGCATAGTAGGTTACAAAAGCAAGGGTGTCCAATCTTAGCAATTTTAAGTCTTATGGACTTCAACTCCCAGAATTCCCCAGCCAGCATTAGCCGAGTTGAAGTCCCCAGGTTTAAATTAACAGAGTTGGAAGGGGCCTTGTAGGTCATCTTATCCAACCCCCCACCCAAGCAGAGACCCTACCATTTCTGACAGTTCGGTCTCTTCTTGAAGGCCTCGAGCGATGGCGCTCCCACAACTTCCAAAGGCAACTTCTCTTCCACTGGTTAATTGTTCTCCCTGTCAGAAAATTCCTCCTTATTTCCAGGTTGAATCTCTCCTTGATCAGTTTCCACCCATTATTTCTTGTCTGGCCTTCAGGTGCCTTGGAGAATAGCTTGACACCCCCACCCCACCCCGCTTTCTCTCTGTGGCAGCCCCTCAAATACTGGAAGGCCGCTATCCTGTATCCCTCTTCACTAGACTAGCCAGGCCCAGTTCCTGCAATTGTCCATCATATGTTTTAGCCTCCAGAGACCCCTCATCATCCTGGTTGCTCTTCTCTGCACTTTTTCCTAGAGTCTCGACTTCTTTTTTATTGTATGGTAACCAAAACTGGATGCAGTACTCTAGGTGTGGCCTTACTAAGGCTTTATAGAGTGGGATTAGTTACCTCCCTTGACCTCGATTGTGTCCCTCTGTTAATGCAGCCTAGGATTGCCTTGGCTTTTTTGGCTGCCACCGCACCAAAGTTGGACATCCTTAGAACGAAGGCAAAAAATAATGCTCCTTCCCCTGCTAACAAACAACCAAAGAAAGGAAAGAAGGAGACCACCATTATTGTTTTCTTTTACCTTCGGACACTTCAAGAGTCACAAAGAAAAGGGGGTCCAATTATTCCCCAAAGCACCAAAGAAGGCAAGACAAGAAGCAACGGATGGCAACTAATCAAGGAGAGAAGCAACCTGGAATAGAGGAGAAACTTCCTGACAGTGAGGACAATTAACCAGTGGAACAACTTGCCACCAGAAGTTGTGAGAGCTCCAACACTGGATGTTTTTAACAAGAGACTAGCCACTAGACTGTCTGAAATCATATAAGGGGCTGGACTAGAAGACCTCCAAGGTCCCTCCCAGCTCTATTCTATTCTAAAAAAGATGGATGGATTTCAATTCCCAGAATTCCCTTGGTTGGCTGGGAAATTCTGGGAGTTGAACGCCAAGCCATTTGGAAGTTGACAAGGTTGAAAAACAATAATGTAGGTATTTAAATAATTGATATGACAACTTATCTCACATGATCTGACTGAGAGTATATAAAGTTGTACATCTAAAGTCCTCAGTTGCGAAGCCAGACATTTTTGGGTTCAATTTCACTTTTGCCTTGGATTTAACCAGAGATCATCTCGCCAAAGTTCAGCTTTTTGTTTTTTGGCCTTGGCCCCTTTGTGGGTACCATTCAACTCCCAGAATTCCCAGCCAGCCTAGGGAATTCTGGGGATTGAAGACCACAATCTGTGCCACGGTAAGTCAGAGCAAAGCACTGTCTGCCTGCAAACTCAAAATCCACTCTCTGTGCCCATAAACAACTCAGAACAATCAGTCACACAGAATTATGAGTGGTTTTTCTCTTTCCCTAAATCCTATATTTGCTGTGACATGCGATGACACACTAAGGCTAAGCAAATAATCTTTAGTATCCGAATGACAAATCTTTTCTGTGGGATATGATCATAGTTTTATGGATAAATACTGTCCTCTTGTGGCGATTGTTAGGACTTCACCCTGGCATTCTGACCTGAGAGCACTAGAAAAAAAATTAATCTTGGCTCTTTGCAAGGACTAATCTTTATAAGCTGGAATGCCTAATTAATTTATTTATCTTTTTATTTATATCCCACCTTTATTATTTATATAAATAAGCATCCAGCCCAGCCCACCAGGAAGGCAGGTGTTTTCCCTGCTAGTCATCCGAAATAGATTTTTTCTGACCTTCTTATTTTTAAATGGTAATATTTTTATTGAAACTTTAAAAATACAAAAACAGCAGAATAACGCAAACTAAGAAAAATATAGAAAAAAGGGAACAAACCAGAAAAAGGGAAAGAGAGAAAATCTGTGAAAGAAAATCTGTACTGTATTTCTTGATTTTTCTGACTTTCTGTTTCAGGTCATTTAATCAAAAATGTTAATCAGAAAAGGGCTAGCTGACTTCGTAGAAAGGATAAAATAATTATTTCTGTTTCTTTTGCTGTTTCGATATTAGTTTTTCAATTGTGTTATTATAGAAATTTTTAAGATAGTGGTACTTCTGGCAATTTTGACGTTATGATTTCTTTATATATATCTCTTTTCTATTTTCCTTATTGTTTTTCTTTGTCTCTGCATTTTTTTTATTTTTATAGTTTTCTTGCTTTGTATTGTTTTCTTACCTTCACATTGGTAAACCTTAATGCCAAGGATTGTTTTGAAAAAAGAAAGACAAAACAGAAGCCAAAATTCAATGTGCTGTTATATTTTTATTGCGTAGCATTGTCAGATTGTATGTTTTAATAGTAAATTTCTCTGCTCTGAGACAGGTGCCTCGGTCTCCAGATTCTGGAATTTTCAAGTATATTTTAGGTTTTATTTTTTTTCCATATCGATATTAGCGAGTTTCTTATATAGTGATTTTGAACGTATCTATAAACTTCATTTTGATAATACCATAGAAAGGCATGCCATTCTGATTGTAGATTATAGATTAACAGAGTTGGAAGGGATCTTGTAGGTCATCTAGTCCAACCCCCTGCCCAAGCAGGAGACCCGGACTACACCGTTTCTGACAGATGGGCAGTCCAATCTCTTCTTGAAAGTCTCAAGGGATGAAGCTCCCACAACTTCTGAAGGCAACTTCTGTTCCCCTGATTGATTGCTCTCACTGTCAGGAAATTTCCCCTTATTTCCAGGTTGAATCTCTCCTTGATCAGTTTCCATCCGTTATTCCTTGTCTGGCCTTCGGAGGTGTTGGAAAATAGCTTGACCACCCCCCCCTCCTCTCTGGGGCAGCCCCTCAAATCATGTCCTTCTAAATATAACAGTCTCTTGTGTCTAAGGTTTATTCTTTTAACCATGTTAAAAGAACATGCTTGGTAATATAAAAACCAATCTGGTAGTCCAAACTCACCGTTTTCTTTAGATTCTTGTAACATTTTAAATTTTATGCTTGCTTTTTTCCCTTGCCAAATAAATTTCAGCATCAATTTGTTCAGATCATCAAAGAATTTATTTTCAATTTTTATTTGGAACAGGAAGAGCAGTTTTGGTAGAATATTCATTTTTATCGTAGCAATCCTTTCTAACATTGATACATGTAGGTTTTTCCATTTTTCTAAATCGAATTTTGTTTCAGTAGCTTTATATAAGTAGCTTTTATTGTTTGGGAATAAGTATATTTCCAAATATTTAACTTAACTTTCTTAACTATTTGAAAATTCACTTTTTTCTGCCAGATTTTCTTTTTGTTTTGGTGTAAGGTTTTTAACTATCTTTAGTTTTTTTTCTCTATTTATTTTCAGTCCTGGTATCTCTCCAAACTTCTCTGTCTCTTTTAACAATTTCAGAATTGTTTTCTACAATAAATACCAAATCATCTGCAAACACTTGTAGTTTATATCTTTCCTCTCCTATCTCCATCCCTTAATTTCTAAGTTTTGTATTTTTTTTTTCTTTTTATATCTTTCTTGCTTTGTATTGTTTCCTTATCTTTGCATTTGTAAACCTTAATGCCAAGGTTTATTTTGGGAAAAAAGAAAAGACAAAACAGAGGTCAAATTTGAACGTGCTGCTTTTATTCTTGTTGCAGAGCATTGTCAGATTGTGTGTTTTAATCATAAATTTCTCTGGTCTGGGACAGGCACCTCCATATCCGGCTTCTGATTTGGCCGTTCAGCGGTAGAAGATCAGCACAGCGGCATCAACTATGGTTTTTGAAGTGCTCCATCCACGGTGAGTCCCGTAGCCATCCCAGTCAAAGGCGGCAAAATCACCACATTGACGGGGGTTTTCTTCTGGGAAAAAGCCCCCTCCTCCAACGCAGTGCTGAGGAAGGTAAAAAGGGACTTAAACATCTTACATATTTCCACATACATACATACATACATACATACAATTAATATATAAATAAAAAGAAAGCAATATGTTCAAAATCCATATATACAATGCGTTGCCTGGTTACATTTCTTGGAATAATAGTCATCATAAACATAGTAATAGTCTTCTCTAATGATAATTTCATGAAAACAGTGCTTTTCCCTCATCACATTGATACACATTAATTAGTAAAACTAATCAAAATTAATCACAATTAATAAGTTGCAATAAACAACAACCCTTATCGTGGGATTAATCTTTCTCTTGTAATATTTGAATTTCTAACTCTTGTTTCTCTTATTTACATATTTCCTGAGAGTGACGATAACTAATTAGTGCCTCCAAAAGCCTCTAAAAAATGAAAGGTTTTCTAGAAGAGATTGTGTTAAGTTTGAGCAATGAGAGGCTGAACCAGAGCATGAGTGCAACAGTACTTTATTTTACAAATAAAGGGCTGACCGTGCTTGCCAAGCCTGGAACTGGCTCGCAGCGATCAGCAACCGGTTGGACCCCGCAGCCTGCTTTTATAGCTGGCTGCTGGGGAGAACCGACCAATGGGAATGGGGGGAATAACGCCCACACAAGTGAGTGGACCTGAGTGAGAACTCCATGAGTCCTCAGGACATAACAGATTGGACAGCCATCTGTATAGATTCTCCTGCTTGAGCAGCAGGTTGAACTAGATGGCCTCCAAGGTCCCTTTTGGCCCTAGGATTCTATGTTCTAAAATGCCAAAGTGTGTTCTGTGTGCATACATGACAGGGTGTAAAACTATGACACACATTCATATCTAGCAAAGGCGAACCTGAATTCTAGGAAGGAAAAGCACAGCTCAAAAGGATATACGTGTCCTTGACTTGATGCTTAGCAACTGTTCAAAGTTACAACAGACTCTCCGAAAGATACTTAAGACTTGGATTTTAAGTTTGGTGAGTGTGATCACATTGCGGGTAGTCCTTGAGTTAGGATCACAACGGAACCTAACATTTCTGTTGCTAAGTGAGAAATTTGTTGAGTTCTGCCCCCTTTTATGACCTTTCTTGTTACAGTTGTTAAGAATAGAATAAAATAGAATACCTTTATTGTCATTGCATTCCACAAATACAATGAAATTTGAAAGCTACTCCAGCACAGTGCCCCAAACACCACATCACAGTCACACTACAGGGTATTTAACAACAACAACAGCAACAACAACAATAATAATGAATCCCAAATGCACTGTTTGATTCAAGACAATTACTGCCTTGGAAAGGAAACTGTTTCTCAGTCTATTAGTCCTCATTTTAAGACATCTATAACGCCCTCCCTGATGGTAACAGTTCGAAATATGAATGTCCAGGATGAAAATGGTCTGTGGAGATTTTTAGTGGTCTAGAGAGGAGTCTGGTCTTCGCAATCTCTTCCAAAGAAGAAAGAGAGCAACCGATTATTTTTTGTGCTGTGTTTATAACTCTCTAGAGCATCTTCTTATCCACTGCAGAGCATCCAGCATACCACACCGTTACACGGTATGCCAAAATGCTCTCGATAGTAGAACGGTAAAAAGTAACCAGCAACTTCTCACCTAAACCACACTTTTTCAGCAACCTCAGAAAGTTCAGGTGCTGTTGGGTCTTCTTTGCAGTGGCCATAGCGTGAACCGACCAAGTAAGGTTGTTGGAAATATGAGTTCCTAGAAACTTAAAACTATGAACTCTTTCCACACAAGTCTCCACTGATATATAGAGGCTCTGCTTTGCAAGTGAATCATGTCCGTTGTGAAGTTAGCAATAAGGTTGCTAAGTGAATCTGGTTTCCCCGTTCACTTTGCTTTGTCAGAAGGCCACCAAAGGGAAACACGTGACCCCGGGACACTGCAACCATCATAAGTATGAGTCAGTTGCCAAGTGTCTGAATTTTGATCACGTGACCATGGGGATGCTGCAACAGTTGTAAGTGTGAAAAAACAGTGGTAAGTCACTTTTTTCAGTGTTGTTGTAACTTCGAATGGTCAGTAAATGGTTTTAAGATGAGGCTTATCTGTATAAGGTCTCCTGCTTGTGCAGGGGGTGGGACTAGAAGACCTCCAAGGTCCCTTCCAGCTCTATGATTTTATGTTCTAATATACCAATTAAATTCCACAGTGGGCTGTGTACATGGAAGGTGGGGTACAAAATTATAGAACCCCCCCCCAATTCCCCTCCTCCATCAGAGGTGAAACTGAATTCTACAAATGAAAAGCACAGCTCAAGGGAATGTATAGATAATCCTCAACTTATGACCGGCTACTTAGTGACTCTTCAACGTTACAATGGACACACCCCCATTCAAAAGATATTTAGGATCAAGATTCAAAGTTATGACAGCTGTCTAACCACCCCCCCTGCAATCACATGATCACCTGGTTAGATCCCTAGCATATGCTTATATATTTAATTTTATTATTCAGCTTCTATGGGGAGGTGGCGTTTCTGGCTGTTTGTTGCAGTATGTCAAGAGTAAAAAACATGGCAGCTATGTGCCTTTTCGTTTCATCTTGCCATTAGAGTAAGGGGGGGAAGTGTTGATCACGAATGGGTTAGTTAGAGAAACAAAACTTCTCCAGCTTCCCCTGAAGCTGGTGAGAGGATCCTGAAAGCTCTTAAAGGACATATTAACAGGTGTGAAGAAGAAGGCAGATGTTTCCATAATGAAGAAAACTCATTTACATGAGTTACGTGTAAGTCTGGGGGTTTGGCTGGGAAAACCATTGTTTCCCCATTTCCCCAAAAATACGACCTACCCTGAAAGTAAGTCCTAGTTTGACTTTTACACGTGCGCCCAATGTAAGCCCTGCCCCTAACATAAGCCCTAATTAAGATCCCACCCACTCCAGAGCGCACAGGTAAAAATTAAGCTAGGGTGGGGATGGGGGGAGGTAGAGCTGCCCTCCCACTTACCTTTGGACAGTTGTAGCCAGGCCTCACACACCCTGACACCTGCCTTGCTGGCCCATCTCTTCTGCAGCCAGCAAGGCTAGCAAGGCTTTCCTGAAGGTCTATGTAGCAGATAACAAAGCTCTGGATCGATCCAGAGCTCTCTTATCAGCTGCAGAGTCTTTCAGGAAACACTTGCCGGCCACAAAAGAAGAAGTTTCTGAAGGCCTCTGACAGTGAAAAGGAGGCCGGGGGCGATGCGTGCAAGTAAGGCTAGTCAGTGGGTGACATTCCCCGAAAATAAGACCTGGTGCCTTTTTTGGTGGCAAAAAAAGGGTCTTATTTTTTGGGAAACACGATATTATGTTCTCATGGCTGGGAATTTCAGAATTAGTTTTATTTCACCGTTACCATGCCACGTATTCAATAAACAGTAAGGTTTTCAGAAATAAAATGATCCTGGGCTACTATTTGGATACTCAAGTGGGATGTTGACGCAGCATTTGTCAGGAAGGCTGGGATACTCACATGTTCTGAGTTGCATCCGGTGACTTTAACGCCAGAGCAGAGAGCCAGTGCTGCCTTCTCATTATTAAACACCCGGAACTGGGCGAAGCCAGCGACAAATTCAGCTGAGAAACGGAAGAGAGATACTAAATGCAGTTGGGAGCCCTAACAATCTGTAATTATTTTCACAATCTTGGTTGATGACAATCGATAATCAGAGACTTCAACTCCCAGCATTCCCCACATCATGTTGGTGAGCTGAAATCCACGCCAGTGGTGGGATTCAAAACATTTTATGACTGGTTCTGTGGGCATGGCTTGGCGGGCGTACCTTGGTGGATGTGGCAAGGGAAGGATACTGCAAAATCCCCATTCCCTCCCCACTAACCTGCTTTCCAGCTCCGTTCTCCTGTGCAGGGAAACCAAAGGAGACCCAGCCAATCAGCTGGGACTCGGGAGGCGGAGAATAGAGGGGAGGCGGGGCCAGTCAGAGGTGGTATTTGCCGGTTCTCTGAACTACTCACAATTTCCACTTCCAGTTCTCCAGAACTGGTCAGAACCTGCTGAATATCACCTCTGAGTCCACCCATCTTTAAGTATGTTGGCTGGGGAATTCTGGGAGCTGAAGTCCACCCACCTATAAGTGGCCATGTTTACATAATACTCCCATTCCTATTGCTGTTTCCTTGCAGCTGGATTTTTGAGGGCTACAAAATGCCCCCCAAGGTGAGAAAAATACATTGTTAACCTAACCTGCTCAACCTGCTTTCTAAACTATTTCAAATGGGCCACCAGTTTTGGAAAGGAGTTCCTTCCTTTACTTTCCTCCTGGATCCTAGCTTCAAAAGAGGATGTCCCAGCCTAGGAGCCACAGGAGGTCCAACCACCCATATTGTGGGGCAGCCCTCTAACCAAGACAAGGATGCTTACACCGCCCATTGGGAGAGTACAACTCTGCAGTCTTCTGGGCATCGCCAACATCATAAACAACAGGGGTAGTGGGGCCATTATCTTTTGGACAGTTGCCACCGCCATATTTCACCGGGTATTTCTGGAAAGCAAACACAGCTGGATTATTTTCATGCATGACCGATCCGTCAGCAAAGCAGACAGAAAATGAAGACGTTTTATGGTGTCCTCTTCAACCCGGCTATAGGACTCTGAGATGAACTGAGGCCCAGTCATCAAAACTGAGCTTAATTTGTGGTGATTTCTTGGACCACAATGACCAAGTGAAGGTCCAACTAGAAGTTTTCTGGAGGTCAAGAAGAAGATGGTTGGCTTTGATCCTCTTTTGAGATGCCTTCTTCCCCTTCCTAGTTCTAAGATATTGTTCTGAGATTCTGGTGGTCTTTCAATCAATCACCAAAGCCCAGAGTTGCTACGAATGCAATCAATCAAATCCATCAATCAATGCATATTTAGCATTTTAGGATCAGCCAGATCGGGTCCAAGAGACAGACGTGGTCATATTTGGTGAGACAACAGGCAGAAAGGCAGAAAAAACCAGGTTGGTTGGGCTCACCTCATAGAGCCGGAGAAGGTTACCCCCTTCCCCAGACAAGAAGCCTGTCTCGGTGTGGTATCTCAAGAAGGAAACCTCCCGCCATTTCTTCATCGGGTTGTTGTTGGGAACGTGCCATATGGCGATATCTCGGACTATAAGAGAGTAGTAGCCTGGGTTCTGGAAAAGAAGAGACACCGTGCAGAATCAAGGAATAACAGAGTTAGAAGGGACCTTGGAGGTCATCTAGAACACTGGACGAGGCTTCAAGAGTCCCTTTTTAAGAGCCTTTGAGGAACTCTGAATCCTGAGATCCTGCAGAATGACACATTGATATGATACAAGACATGGAGAGGACCTATTATCTGTCCTGTCCATCTGCTTTTCTTCAGGGACATAAAGATTACGGGTGAGAAGGTTTGACCCTAGCAACACTCCAGAGGGGTGACCTCTCCCCTTCCCCCATTGACTAGAAACACTTCTTGAAAAAGGAGCAAAATTACTGGGCTGTCACAGATAAAGGGGTTCAGCATGTTCTCCAAACCACGAGAAGGCAGGACAAGAAGCAACAGATGGAAACTCATCAAGGAGAGATGCAACCTAAAATTAATCAGAAATTTCCTGCCATGGGAGAACAATTAATTGGTAGAACAGGAGTTGCCTCCAGAAGTTGTGGGAGCTCCGTCACTGGAGGTTTTCAAGGAGAGCCTGGACATCCATTTTTCCAGAAGGTTATAAGGTCTCCTTCTTGAACAGCGGGCTGGACTAGAAGACCTCCAAGGCCCCTTCCAACTCTGTTAAGCTTATGAAGTAAGGCACACTCCAAAAATTCAACATAATCATTGCTGTGTAAGTCTATAGCCACGTGTGCCCAACCCAACATGAGTCAGGACATTTTGTGCCCAAACTGGCCTGTGCGATCATCTTCGGACATACCACATTTAGGTTCAAGGTAACCACCGATGTTGAGAGTTTCATCAATGATTGTGGATGAACGACATTTGCTGTTTTTGCATCGAATATTAAACATAACCCGGAGCTCCCTGTTACGACCAACTCTTTGAGTCTGATTTTGGCCTGTGGCTAAAAAAAGGCCCTTTAAAAAGTTTGCTTCCCCCCCCCCCCGCTCCAATGAGTAACTCCTACCTTGTAGTCATCGCTCGTGGCTGCTATGGCTGTCCCAAAGGTGTTATTGTTGGACCAGTTTCCATCTCCGTAGGGGAAGTTGGCATTGCTTCCTTGTTGGCTGGACCAGCGATCGCCAGTGGTGCATTTCCCGAAGATGTTGTTCTCATGGACGCTGGCCACCAGAGTCCAGCCCCCTCCGTTAGTGGTCATGTCGCAGAAGGTCTGGTAGATCTCACCATCTTCACTGACCAGGATGTACAGTCCATCTGCCAATCAGCAAATATGTATATGTATATGTATATGTACATGTACACACACACGCCTACATATATAAATACACACACACACACACACACATCTATATCACACACATACATATTTATGTTCAATTGTTGGTATTTCAAAATGACCAGGAACCTACAGTTCTCCGCCTCTCCATTCCCCCTTCCCTCCTCCTCTTCCTCCTCCACTTCCTCCTTTCTTTTTCCTCCTCTTCTCCTTCCTCTTCCTCCATTTCTCCTCTTCCTCTTTTCTTTTTCCTCCTCGCATCCTCCTGCTCCTAATTCCTTCTCCTTCTGTTTCTCCTCCTCCTCCTCCTCCTCCTCCTCCCTTTTTCCTCCTCCCTTTCTCCTCCCCCTAATTCCTTCCCCTTCTGTTTGTCCCCTTCCTTCTCCTCCTCCTTTCTATCTCCTCCTCCATCTGCTTTTCATATCTATAAACACCATTTCATAATAACCAATGTCCATAAATGGTAGAAGATAATGTCAATTTTGAATTATAACGGTAAAAAGAGCTGTAATGACTCCAAACTATACAACTGAGATCTATACAAATTATGTTAATAGAAATTAAATAGAAGTCAAAACGGCCGCCACAACCATGCAGTCAAAGCCCCCTCCTCTCTTTCCCATGCCTCGCAGTGCCCATCATGGACCGAAATACCCAGAAGTGGAGAGATTTGATGGGGCTAAAGCATCCTCTTTACTCACCTGGAGACTCTGGCACGGCAGCCTTGATTTCCTTGCAGCTCTGGTAGGGCCTCTGGGGTTGGCCTGGCTGGGAGGGCTGGCAGGAAGTTTCCCATTTCCTCAGCAGGTCCAGGACATCTTTCTGGGCTGTGGCGATGCAGCAGCCGCTGGCTGTCAAGACTATTATTATTGTTACTTTATTGTCAGAGTACAACATGTGTACAATGAGATTGGCTGAGCCTCCCTTCATTGCAAACTCCCACCACCACCAACACAACTCACAGTGAGGACAGAAATCCCTAACCTGGTCCCAATCTTATTACACTAGGTGACCTTGTTGTACAACATGCTGGCTCCACAAGTCTGTCCAACTATGTTGACGTGAACTTATTTTCCATTCAGGAGTCTGACTGCCCACGAGTAGAAACTGTACTTCAGCCTGTTGGTGCGGCTGGCTCTGCTTCTATATCTCCTGCCTGATGGTAGGAGAGTGAAGAAGTGCTGACTGGGGTGTGAGTCGTCCCTGAGAATTTTCCTCACTCTTCTAAGGCAGCGAGCCTGAGCGAGGTCATCTAGTGGTGTCAGGGAACAGTCCATGGTGTTTTGTGCTGTGCTCACCACCCTCTGTAATGTCTTTCTATCCGCAGCTGTCAAGCCAGCATACCACACCATGGGGGGGGGGGGGGGGGGATGATAGCAGGATTCTACAAAGAATACCGCCCCAAAGAAGAGGGGGTCAACTTATTTTCCAAAGCACCAGAGGGCAGGACAAGAAGCAACAGATAGAAACTAATCAAGGAGAGATGCAACCGGAATTAAGGAGAAATATTCTGATAGTGAGGACAATTATCCAGTGGAACTGCTTGCCACCAGAAGTTCTGGGAGCTCCATCACTGGAGGTTTTTAAGAAGAGATTGGACAGTCACTTATCTGAAATACTAATTTGTTTTTTTTTTCCTGTTGCATTTCTCCTAATCCCTCTGTTTCAGTTTGTTCTTTTCCTGAAAACAGTCTATGCCAGCAGCTGTACCCAGGGAGATGTTTTCTGGTATGGCATTAGGCGTGTCACATTTTCCAGCTTCCAATTTCTAAACATTAGGCATGCTCAAACCTTGTGACATGCCTTGGTAATTGTAAATATACTCTGGTTACTTACATATAATTTAGATGTGATGGTAAACAACTATGTAAATATCATAAATTTTCAGACCAGCAATTCCCTAGTACATATCAAAGAACATTATTCTGTGTGTAGTGAGCTTGGCGGAGGATATCTTTATCATTTCACTCCAGAGAAAGGCTCAAAAACAGGAAAACCTGCTCAAGTGATGGCAGATAATCTGATGTATTTCATGAAGAAGAAGAAGAAGAAGACAGGCATTGACAAAAGCTTGAAGGCCGCGGGAGTAGATTCTACAAATGTTAATATTGGTCATCACTGGAGGTTTTCAAGAAAAGACTGGGCAGTCACCTGTCTAGAATGGTACAGGATATCTTGCTTGAGCAGAGGGCTGGACTAGAAGACCTCCAAGGTCCCTTCCAGCTCTGTTCTATTCTATTCTATTCTATTCTATTCTATTCTATTCTATTCTATTCTATTCTATTCCATTATTTCATATTCTAGTCTATTTTATATTCTATATTCTATTCTATTCAATTATTTCATTATTCATTTTAATATTTAATAATAAATTTAATATTAATTTAATATTAATGAGCCTTGGTGGCACAGTGGTTCGAGTGCAGTATTGCAGGCAAACTTCTGCTGACTGCCGGTTGCCTGCAATTTGGCAGTTTCAAATCCCACCAGGCTCAAGGTTGGCTCCGCCTTCCGTCCTTCCGAGGTGGGTCCAATGTGGCCCCAGATTGTTGGGGGCAACATGCTGATACTGTAAACTGATTAGAGAGGGCCGTAAAAGTTGTGAAGCGGTATATAAGTCTTAAGTGCTATTGCTCAGTGCTATTGATGAAATAATTTCTAGAAAGAGTGCAGACAAGAGCCCAAAAGATGATTATGGGAACTGGAGGGTAAAATGTATAATGAAGGGTTGCAGGAATTGGGTATGTCTAGTCTAGAGAAAAGAAGGACCAGGGGTAACAGGATAGCACTGTTCCAATACTTGAGAGACTGCCCCAAAGAAGAGAGGGTCAACCTGCTCTGCAAAGCACCAGAAGGCAGGACAAAGCACCTGACAGTGAGGACAAGTAGCCAGTGGAAAGGCTTGCCTTCAGAAGTTGTGCACTCCATCGCTGGAGGGTTTTAAAAAGAGATTGGGCAGCCATGTGTCCATGACATTTTAAGGTCTCCTGCCTTGAGAAAGGGGTTGGACTAGAAGACCTCCAAGGTCCCTTCCAGCCCCAGGATTCAATGATTCTTTGAGAACCCATTTTCCCACAAATCCACCGGTTAGTCACTCACCTGCAGGTTGTGCCTTTGCAAAGGCAGCCCAGGCCAGCAGTAGAAGAGCCAAGAACATCATTGTGGATGAGCCTCTAGAGAAAAATGTGAATATTCATACCGCCTTTTCTGAAGAACAGATCTTTTTTTAGGAATAAACAGGATTTAAATCTCAAAGTACTTGGCTACTCGGCTTTTACGGTAGATTTACAAGACTTTTTTGGATCATAATCCCTGTGAGTTTGGCTTATAAAAAATTGAATTCTTTTAGATGGACAGTGAGAGCAGTCAATCAGTGGAACAGAAGTTGCCTTCAGAAGTTGTGGGAGCTTCATCGCTGGAGGCTTTCAGAAATGGTGTAGGGTCTCCTGCTTGGGCAGCGGGTTGGACTAGATGACCTACAAGCTCCCTTCCAACTCTGTTAATCTGTTAGATTGGGAGTCTCCAAGCTAGGCAACTTGAAGACTTATGCGTGCTAGCTGGGCAATTCTGGGAGTTGGAGCCCACAAGTCTTAAAGTTGCCAAGTTTGGAGAGCTCTGTTTTAGATGGAGACTTTGGGAGAAGTTGCCACAAAAAGAAGCAACAGCAGAGGATCGTAAAAAGCAATTAAAAGGTTTTGGGGGGACACAATTTAGGTAAGGCACTGATTTAAGACTGGTTTGGGAAGCAAGTAAGGCCCTGAAGTAAACCCAGACTGTTATAGGGTCTCCTGCTTGAGCAGCGGGCTGGACTAGAAGACCCCCAGGGTCCCTTCCAACCTTATTTTTCTATGTGATTTATTAGAGGTTAATTTTATATGACATACTAGTGAACTCTAAAAAGAAAAGAAGAGTCGAAAGCAAGAGCTTCCTAAACAGTGTGACAGCAGATCCAGGGACACAAGAGTCTCCTTCATTGGATGGGAAGCAGAGGCAAAAAGGTCTAGGTGACCTCAAGGATCTTTCCATATCTGTAATTCTATGGCTCTTGCTTAATCTGATGACTGAAATCAGTTCGGTTCTGGAATTGCACAGTGCAGTGAGCAATATCACCAAACCTCACCATATGTTAAATCAGATTTTAAAAAATGCAATGATGGTTAATATTGTAATATTAAGAAACTTATGAATGCTGGTCTTAAGCTGGTCTTTGGCTGTTGGGTTGAGCCTGCTGTGAGAACGCAGCTTTCAATCCCCATTTAACAAATGTCTCCATTTTTCTACTACCATAAATAAAAAAGGCACATTTAAGTATTGCACGTTGCAGAATCCATGCTTGTTCCTGGCTTTTCCATCTGCACCCCAATAATCAAACCCCATTCACCTTCCTGGCAAATTTCTGACTTACCTGGTCAATCTCCAGTGTTTCTTTGATGAATGCCTTGAGCACAGGTTTGTCTTACCTGGACGAGGAAGATCACTTCGCCTGAAGAAACCAGGAAGCTCAAATCAGCCTGGTCTTCTCACTCGGGTTTATTAAGCAGCTGGATTTCGAAATTCACCTCCCCGTCACAAGAGGAAATGAAAAGCAGGAAGTCCTGAAATGAAGAGGGGCTTTTTACACCCACAAGATAAACAAGTTTCAGGAACAGTTTTGGCCAATACAGAAGTCAAATAAATAGGATAATCTTGGTGCTGTATGAGCTTGGTGTTTTCCCAGCAGATGTTGTTTTGATTACAACAGAATAACAGAGTTGGAACGGACCTTGCAGGTCATCTAGTCCAACCCAAACAGGAACCCTACACCATTTCTGACAGATGGCAGTCCAGTCTCTTCTTGAAAGCTTCCAGTGATGAAGCTCCCACAACTTCCGAAGGCAACATCTGTTCCATGGGTTGATTGTTCTCACTGTCAGGAAATTCCTCCTTATTTCCAGGTTGAATCTCTCCTTGTTCGGTTTCCATCCATTTCTGGCCTTTGGGTGCTCTGGAGAATAGCTTGACCCCCTCCTCCTCTCTGGGGCAGCCCCTCAGATATTGGAAGACTGCTATCCTGTCTCCCCTGGTCCTTCTCTTCCCTAGACTAGACTAGCCAGGCCCAGTTCCTGCAACTATTCATCGCATGTTTGAGCCTCCAGTCCTCTAATCATCCTGCTTACTCTTCTCTGCACTCTTTTTAGAGTCTCAATCTCTTTTTTATAGTGTGGTGACCAAAACTGGATGCAGTACTTGTTGATGTAATTCCCCGTTAGGAGAATGAACGCATACAGGGAGATGTATTTGAGAGAAGTGTTTGAATAATACACACACAGTACACAGATACACTGTACAGTAAATGTAGGTTTAAGCAAAAAGAAAGGTTTAAGCAAAGTTCAATATAGGCAGTCCAAAGTCATTCACAGGTAAGATCAGTCAGTTTTCAGTCCAGGGATAATCCAATAACAAAGTCCAGTATCATAAGCAGTTCAGTATCAGACTTACATCAAATCCAGTAATATCAGTCAATTAGAAGGAACGGCAATACTCTCCAACAGAAGGAAACAGAGATACACATTCAGACATGCTCTCTTCTGAGACTAAGACTAAACAACCCAGGTTTCTGGCTCCATCTTATGGCCGTTTGAGTAACCACACCCAATTGCAGTTTTGCATATTCTTAAAGATACAGTTTTAAAATGTCTATCCTGGTTTATATATTTCTAACCCAAATACCTGTTAGGTGACTTATATTCCTAACAGTACTCTAGGACAGGTGTGGTCTTACTAAGGCTTTATAGATCTTGATTGTATCTGTTAGATCCGTGTATCTGCCATTCTTCAATTGGAGGGGGGTTTGATACAAGTAAACCTTTTTGATATAACCTGAATATCTTAATTCTTGTATTGAATCTGTATAACTTGCACACAATATACAACTGGGGACTGGAGTCCAGAGGCCTGGAAACTTGTCACCTCTTGGAGAGAGGAGAAGGGGCCATAAAAATCCCAGCTCCAAAAGAAACTTCTTGGGAAGCTCTTCTCAACTATGTTCCCAGGAAAAAGGGGAGGGGGATTAACACGTTGCTTCTTTATATTGACAAAATCCACACCGGACTAAGGGGGGGAGGGGTTCTAACTCCCTTTATCTAAGCTGCATGCCTGGAGGGATATCAGACCTTGCTTTGAACCTCACCTGGATCTTTTTCTTCTTCAATAAAGAATTCCTTTTGAAATACCCAGTTTTCCAAAGTTCATTCTTATTGTTTGAAGGGGAGAGAGTGTGGGCCTCAGAGTATCCCTCTGTTGATGCTATCTTAGGATTGCATTGTGCTTTTTGGCTGCCGCTGCACACTGCTGCCTCATATTTAACTAGTTGTCCACTAAGGCTCCAAGATACCTCTTGCAGTTAAGCCTGGTTTCGCCCAATCTATATGTGTGCTCGTTTTTCTTGCCTAAGTGTAGGACTTTACTTTTCTGTACATTGAATTTCATTTTGTTAGATAGGACCCAGGGTTCAAGTATGGATCTTGAGCCTGTCTTCTGGGGTGTTGGCTATTCCTGCCAGCTTGCAAATTTGATGAGTTCCCCTTCTATTCTATTCCCTCATCTAAGTCATTTATGAAGATATTGAAGAGTCCTGGGCTTAAGACAGAACCTTGTGGTACCCCAACTGCTTACTTCCCTCCATGTAGACTTAGACCCATTAAGGGCTACTAGTTGGTTATGGTTTGTCAGCCAGTTACAAATCCATCTAGTGGTGATGCTATCTATCCCACTTTTTTTCTAGCTTACCAAGAAGGAGGTTGTGGTCTACTTTGTTGAATGTCTTACTGAAGTATTATGTCCACAGTATTTCGCTGGTCTACTAATTTAGTCACTATGTGGAAAAATGAAACAAGATTGCTTTGGCATGATCTGTTTTCAACAAACCCGTGCTTGGCTGCTAGTTATTACTTTAGTCATTTATAGGTGTTGGCAGATCTGTTTTTTTTTAAATTACCTGGTGGTCATGTGACTGGGTGGACATGGCTTGGTGGTCATGTTATTGGCTGGGTGTGGCCAACTCAATATCACTCACATTGAGGCATGCATCTCCTCGCCTGGCCTCTCATGACTATGGGGATGCTGCAACAGTCGTCAGTGTGAAAAGTGGTCATAAGTCACTTTTTTTCAGTGCCATTGTAACTTTGAATGGTCACTCCACACAAGCAAAGAACCAGCAAAGGAGAGGAAAAAACTCCAGAGAAGTTCCTGAGACAGGAAGTCTAGTCCTACCAAGAATGTAATAAGAGTTAACGGAGAGGCAGTTTCTGTAAGCAACACCAGAATGTTTCCTTCCTGCCTTCCTTACAGGATTAGGGCAGTCATTTCTTCTAAGAACTGGTTCTCCGAACTGCTTAGAATGTTAACAACTGGTTCTAGCGAATAGGTGCGAACTGGTAGAATCCCACCCCTGATTGTGTTGTCTAGGTATTTAATTTATTTAACAATACAAATTGCATTCTTAATCTCCACCCTTTTTTCCAACCTTTGGTAAAATAAATTTGATAATTTGATAATATTCTATGCTCTCTTTCTGCTTAATTTTCAATGTCAATATATCAATTTCTGCACAATCTGGTATCTTCCTGACTATCTCTTCAACTTACAGTGTTTCTTCATTTTTCCAGTATTGTGTGAAAATAATCCTCATTGTTGTTAAGACATGTAATATTAAATACATCGTTTTCTTATCAAGTTTTTCTGATATTATACCTAATAAAACAATTCAGTTTATAGTCTATATGTTTCCCTATCATCTTTTCTAACCACCTGTGTATCTCTGTCCAAAGCCTTTGAATTTTTGAAAGATATGGTAAAATGGTTCTGAGATGACATCTGCCAGCTCCTGTAAACTCTGGGGTGTAATCTGTCAGGTCCCGGTGATTTATATTCATCAAGATCAGACAGGTGTTCTCTTACCATTTTTTTTTTGTTTATTTTAAGTTTTATTTCTAGTCTGTCTAGTCTGTGATGACCCGGAGCGTATCAGAAATATAACAAAAACCAAAATGTAAATAAAGGTCCTTTAATGCCTTCAACTTGGCTTCCCTGTTTAATTGGTCACAGTTAAAGATTCAACTATTTTCAAAATAACATTCCAAATGAAATTCAAAGAGCAGATAACGAAGCAAAAACCAAAAACAAACCGCACTGAATAAAGTTCCACGACAAACCAGGATAAATAATTACCAACTTCAGGAAGATAACCAGGTACAGTCTGTTGGAAGAACGCCAACCAAGATAAACCTCATCTAGGAATAAAACGCTAATTTGTCTCTAGCATCTGTTAGCATGCAGGTCCAGACTTTTATGCAGATCTCACACCTGCAACCCATGAAGAGGATCATGGCCCTCTCCTCCTGAGTAGACCATGTCTCTCCCTGATCCTCTCCTCCCTGTGTGCCCTAGGATGGAGAGGGGATGGGCCTGGGTCCTCCTCTGACTGCTCAGCCGGCCTCTGCCCTTCCCCAGCTTCCTCCACCACCTCTGGAGCCACACTCCCACTCCCTGTTGGCTGTTCCTCCTCTCCCTGGGAGTCATTCTCCCCCAGGGGCACCACATATTCTGTTCTAGTTATGGTTTTGGTAGCTTGGACTATTGTTTTGTTTTTTTTCTTTTTATTGTTTCAAGGAATGAGTTAATGCTGCCTGTTACTTCCTTGCTGTCTTCTGTTAAGTGAACTGTTTGTTTCCTTGATTTTTTTTGGCTATTTATATGTTGGAAGAAACCTTTTTAAAAATATCTTTGACTTTTGTTGCAACTCTTCGTTCAATCTGAGTCTTTGTTCAATCTCTTTGAAAGTTTCCAAGGATGAACCTCAATCACCCTTCCAGATGTTGATTCTGATGGAAAATGCTACTTTCCAGAGACATCACTGGGGGCAGACAGAGTAGAGAAGAGAAAGAAACTCCAGGGAGTCTTGGGGACTTAAATGGGACACATTTGTAAAATAATTTACAAACTGCGGCCTGCTCAACTGTTGGCAATCTCCGGGTCTCTTGGGCAAAGTTACAAACAGAAATGGGCCAGTCACACATTGCACAAAGATATTTCATAAGCATAGCTGGTTGGGGATTTCTGGAAGTTGAAGTCCACCCGTCTTAAAGTTAACATGGTTGAGAAACAGGAAACGAGAGACAACGGAGTAAACACCTCAGGGAAGTACTCCATTTGGGGGAAATAAATCAGATTAGTGAGAGGGTTACTCCTGATTTACTCTCTTAAGCAAACGACCCTGGTTTGAAAGAACATTGGAGAAGATAAAAGTGTAGCTTCTTTTCTAGAACTTCGTGGTGTCCACCTTGGACGTAGAGATCCTTGAAAACCCCTTAAGAATTTCCCTGGTTCTCCAAGATTTTTGATACGGATGTCTCAGCCTCACTTGTGTCCTTATGGCTCATAAACACCTTGACCAGAAGCCTGTGGGCTTCGGTTGCCACATCCTCCACAAAATTTTTTAACATGCTGTAGACCACAGCGAACGACAACCCTACGGAGGCCATGGGCACAAG